AGAGGCTGACCTGAAAACGCTGGGCATAGTGTGGATTGTATTCATGGGCTAGCTGAGCTAGGAAGTGACTATGACTTTTGTTCACTGGTGTTCCTGGGCACCAATTCAGAGCTAAAAAGAACCCCCAATTTGGGGTGTGGTGAAGAAGGAAACTTTATTCGGTGTGAAACAGTTCAATTGCGATACAGCTGGCCGTGGAGCAGCTGAATTGTGATACAGAGTGGCTGTGAAAACAGCATGGCTGGGAGGCACCCCTGGGATCTGGCCCCTCTCTGGCTAGATAGCTCTGCTCTTCCTTCATCTGCTCTGTTCCGTGCCGGTCTACTCTGGTCTGCTCCGCTCTGTTCTGGTCAGAATGTGTTTCAGCTCAGACAGGGAGACACAGTCTTCCATCTTCAGTGGAAGGGAAAGTGTTCTCAGAGCTAGAGGGGAGCTGGTTTATATACACAGAAGTCCCCACTCCTGATCCCTGGTTGGCCGATCCTCATGCAAATAAGGGCTCCAAATCCTGGCAGTTTGATTTGTCCAAAAGGCACTGTCTTGACTGGTCAGAATAGCACCACTATGGTTGTTTGGAGCTGCACAGATCTATTTGGATGGGGAAAGCCTCAGTCCTTTTGGTTGAAATGGGATTCCAGGAACTCCTGTTTAAGGGCTGGCTCGGATGGCAGAAACAGTGCAGAGGCAGGCAGTTCAGTGCAGGCCTCCCCCAGAAGTGCAGTTTGTGTGAGAGGTCCCTGTGTAGAAATGGCTGCTAGGCTCTGAATTTCTAATTCTCACCTGATATATATTTAATTTTAAATAGAGAAGAAGGAAGAGGGAGAGAGAGAGAGAGAGAGAGAGCGAGCCTCCTATTGGGAGATTGAACCTGCAACCTTTTGGTGTATGAGACAATGCTTGAGTCTAGCTGAGCCACCCAGCCAGGGCATAGGCTCTGTTTTTTTGTTTTTGTTTTGTTTTTTTAAAATTTGAACCCAGTTAGTCACCAGGAACCCTTCTTAGTAGTGTCTTCTTTCTCGGGGTTCACACTTTAGACAATTGATTCTCTGTTGGTGGATGAAGCAGAAATAATAGAGATGGAATTATGTCTCTTATCTGTACATTTTGGTTGCAAGAGGTGGAAAAGCTAACAAAATGTGGCCAAAGCTTAAAAGAGGAATTTATTGGCTCAAATAATTGAGAAGTATAGTAATATGCTATTTTTAGGTATGGCCAGGTCTGATTCTCAAATAATGTCTTCAATACTTGGTCTTTCTCCTTGTTTCATCATCTCTCAGCTCTTGTTTCCTCTGCATTAGCTTCATTCTCAGATAGGCTCTCCCCATTATATAGTGGCTCCTGGTATATATATCCATCCAGCTTCAAGTTCAACAAAGAGTACCCTTGGCCTAGATGCTCTAGCAAATCTAATAATTCTTTCTTATGCCTCTGATTGGGTGATGTGTCTGGTCCCTTTTAAAAGGTGAGATGTATATTTGGATATAGAGGTAGTATTCATCAGTCAAATGGGTATACCTATCTGGAGTTCAGAATAGAGGTCAAAACTAGGATAGATATTTGTAGGTTGTTGGTGTGCAGATGGCATTTGCAGTCATGAGGCAGGTTGAAGTAATCTATGATGTGTGAACAGAGGTGGGATAGTCTAGTGTTCAGAGATTAAGAAAGTGAGGAGGAATCAGCAAAGGAAACTGAGCAGGAGGGGACAGTGAAAAAGGAGACCAAGAGGTGGTGTGTGGATGGTGACCCAGAGGCCAACTGAAGAAAGATTATCGTGCCTTAAGTAAGAAACAACCTACCAAATTCTAATTTACCCCAGGTCTCCATGGATAGTGTATTTCCATGTGTGTATTTATGCTGTGTGTGTGTGTAAAATTTTTTTGGCCTGAGGTCACCCAGCTACCATATATTCGTTTTGTTCCTCCCTTAAAAATTCTGAGTCCATGTGGTCTAAAATTTCAGTTCTGGGTCTGTGGTTACAAATTTTATTAGTTCTCTTTTCTTCTTCTGCAAGATCATTTCACTTTCCTTTATATACTTCTAAGGAAAGCCTGAAGCATTGGCCATCTGCCAGGACTGCCTGTCCGTCCATCCATCCATCCATCCATCCATCCACCCACCCATCCATCCAAGAGATAGTTACTAGGAATTTACAATGTGTAGGCACCATTTTAGGCACTGGGGATACAGCCATGGACCACATAGTACCAGCACTATCCTTGCCACCAGGGAGCTTGCACTCCAGTGGAGTGGGGTGGGGAGAGGGAGACAATGTGTGTTCAGGGCCAACAAACTAAATTAATATTGTTATGCCCACACGGATGAAAACAATCAGGGGTCTAAGATATATAGAACAACAACGGAGACTAAGAATGGGGACTACTTACATTGGAAGGGCAGGGAAGCTTCTCTGAGGAGTTAGGTCCTGATGTCTCCAAAGTAACCAGCAAATCTCTTTCTTTTTAGAGTCCTGAATGGAACCTGTGTTCCAGTTCCTAGAAACCCCCAGGCTCTTGGTTTCCTCCTCGATTACCAGAACGATGGAGGAAACCTACCTCCATTCTATCTTCATGTGAGTACCTACCTCTACAATTTACAATATTAATTTAAATAATCAGTCTTTCAACAATTTTATCTAACATCTGCTAGAGGAAGCAACAGATTATAAAAAGGGAATTTATCAGAGTTCATCTTCCAACAACATGGTTAATTACCATTTAATTTAGCTAACATTTTATTTTTTGGAGGGAACAGTTATTACAGTGCAGACACTGGTTTAAATAAGCATTTATATGCATCCTATTATTTAATCTTCACAACCGCCCTGTGAGGTAGGTATTATTATCATCCCTATTTTCCACTTAAAAAAGCCTGAAGCTTAGAGAGGTTAACTGTCCAAGGTCACACAGCTAGCCCGTGGCTAAGCTGAGGTTAAAACCCATGCCTGCTATTAAGTCTAAATGTGTAGATACGACCAGCAAATAGATCACATTCATTAATTTATGCATTCAATCAATTACTTTCTCAACATAGATGCCTTCTCTGGCCTCCTGAGTTAGCAACTCCTTCATGTTCCCAAGGACCCTGGCCTCCTATCCTAACTTATCATGCACTTTGCTATTGCTTGTTGCTTCTTTCTCTTCCACTGACGAGCAGCAGTCTAGTTCCTTGTTATTCATCATTGTATCCCTAGCATCTAGCCTAGTGCCTGAACGCAACAGACTTATTTAAAAAGCAAACACAAAACCAACAAACAAACAACTTAACTGAAAAAGGGCAGCTAGATCCTGGACATACAAATAATTTATTCAAGGACAGCACCTATTCTCTAGGACAGTGGTTCTCAACCTGTGGGTCGCGACCCCTTTGGGGGTCGAATGACCCTTTCACAGGGGTCGCCTAAGACCATCGGAAAACACATATATAATTGTATATTGTTTTTGTGATTAGTCACTATGCTTTAATTATGTTCAATTTGTAACAATGAAATTGGGGGTCACCACAACATGAGGAACTGTATTAAAGGGTCGCGGCATTAGGAAGGTTGAGAACCACTGCTCTAGGAGGTCACAATTCAGCACTAGACGCTGGGATCCAGCCTGACAAGTGCAGTGAATGAGTTACCAGAATGGATTTCTATTGTGGAACATAGGGATGACAGGGCGAGGCATTGGGTGTGGGAGGTTGGAGAGGGACACCTGAGAGGATCCATTCATTTATTCCACAAATATTTATCAATCACCGTAGCATACATAGCACATGGTAAGGGCTCAATATCTGTTATTAAATGCCAGCCACTGGTCAAGGTGTTGGAGATGCCACAGCGCACCAGAAATCTGCGGCGGCCCTTGCCTAGAGAAGCTCACCGTGTACCGAAGTACGCTCACTGTGGGCGTAATTATGTAAAATTGTGTTAGATGCCGAGCAGGAAAACAACAGGCGGCTGAAATTCTCCTAAGGATATTAGATCCTTCAGCTGGGGGCAGCCGTGGGCGGGTTTTAAGCAGGAGTCGCTGTGATGGGGACCAACTGTAGGGGGCGGGAAGACTGCAGGCAAGAAGAGCTGGTAATTTTAAGATGCAAATGTTTTCAGCCTGCCGGGAAGAAGGAGCATGTGTCTAGGGTCGACGTGGTCGCTCCGTGCACTCGGGGTTCTCCCGGGGCCGAGGCTGCATTTTGAATGCAAACTTGAATGCTTAGCCATGCAGGGCGGCCAGAGGGGAACTGCAGCCCTCATTCCCAGGTTATTGGTACTAGGCACCTCTAGGCTCCTCCGCTTCCCAGACCTGCAGATGCACCCTCTCGGACTAGGACCCCGACCGCAGCGTGCGGGCAAGATTCTGGGTGGCGGGCCCCGTGCACCGAAGCGATTACCACCTAGGTTCGGGTCTGCAGCACAGCGCGGGCGGGAGGGGGCGGAGCTTGCGCTGCAGCCCTCGGCGGTAAAGCGGCCTGCCCTCTGCCTCAGGCCCCGCCTCCAGGCCCCGGTGAG